GGGACCCCTGGGGCAGGTCGGACCCCACACCTGCCCCACACCTGGGCAGCCAGTGGGTGCCGGGGGAAGAAGGGGTTAAGCTGAGCCAGCGCCGGCAGAAATCAGAGGATTGCAGGTTTGTTGCCGGACTGGACTGTCCCATCTGTCACCAGCACAAAGACAAGCCCTGTCTCGGGCTGGGCTGTCAGCGAAGAGCCCACCACTACATTAGGACTCCATTAGGGGAGACTGGCGGTGGGAAATGGCAGCTGTCAGGGCACTATCATTTCTCCTGTAATTCCTCCCGCTCGCTTCTCAACTGCACTTAAATAGCAGGTCTACCCACTGGGCCAATTTTGCATTTTCTTCCTCCCGCTGCTCCTCTTCTTTCTTTAAGGCCGCAGCGTCCGTCCCGTGCCACCCCCCCGCGGCTCCTGCCTGCCCACGCCTGCCCGCGGCACCTCCGCAAGGAGAAGGGCTCACGGGCATTGGCAGCATCCCGGCTGCCAGGGTGGCTACGGAGCTGCGATGATGCCAGCCTGGTCTGCACCGGCACTGGTGGGCTCAGCGATGGGACTCGCTGACTCCTGACCTTGGCACGGTGAGAAAGGGAGCTGGCTTACAACCTCCAAAGATGGGTTTTCCCTGGACAAGCAGTGTCCTTCCCATCTCCTGCCATCTCTCCAAGCTGGTCAACATTTGCTGGTCCACGCTGCCCTTGCCCAAAAGCCCGGCTGCCCAGGCAGGGCTGGCACCGCTCTGCGAAAGGGGCCAGGGTGGGCAGGACAGCAGTTGGCGAGTGATGCTGGGGACCATGCCTGGTGACCGTGGGCAGTGCCGGAGCAGGGTTTCTTCCTCCAGCCATCAAATCTGCCCAGTCTTTCACTGCTCGGCAGAGTCTCTTGCATTGCACTTGCTGGTGCAGTCATGGCCACCTTGGGGTGGGATGCTCCCCCAGCACCATGCCGTCTCTGGGATCCATCTCAGCATGGCATGACTGACCTCAGGATAAATCCATGGACAACCAGGTTTTCTGATGGGACAATGTCTCCTGGAAACTCTCAGGACCCACAAAGAGCATCTGCTCCAGGAGAAGCCTTGGAGAAACATCTCAGCATGGTGGGGACCTCTCCCATGAGCCATGTCTTCACTGGGGGTCTCCACGCTCACACCTCTCCCGGGAGACCCCGGGGCTGCCCGCACCCTGCCCTGCCCTCACCGCATCTCCTGCTGGACCCGGCACTGCCGGCGTGCCGGCGCTCCCCGCGGAGCCTCCTTTTCCAGCGGGGGATCAAAACAAACACTTCTACGGGGAAGTGCATTGCAGCGGTGCTCGAAATAAATAACTAATTTCTCCCTACATGATCTCAAGGAGCAGGAGAGGCGTGAATAGCAGGGCCCGGTGTCGGGCTGACTGGACTCCCCGGTGCGGTAATTCAGAGGATGACAAACATAAGCCAAAGAAAAATGTTGAAAAATGGGCACTTCCCGCAGCCCTGAGCAAAGGAGCTATTGCAGGGTTTGGAAATAACGAAGGCAAAAAGAGGGAGAGGGGGGAATTTTCTCATTGAGACCAAGTGAAGTGCCAAACAAGCTGCTATTATGGTGGCTTTGAGAGGCACAGGGAGGGGGCGATGGGGAGGAGAGCAGGGGGAAGGAGAGGAGGGAGGTGGGGGAGAAGAGAGGGAGAGAGGGCTGGAGGAAGGGAGAAGGATGGGGGATGCGGGGATGAGGGGGATGCGAGGAGCCAAAGGCGCGAGGTGACACGGGGGAGACGGAGAGAGGAGCAAGTTGTGTGATGACGGCAGGGCCACCACGTGCCAGAGCCCCATCCCTCGTCCTGGGACCCCCGCATCTCCCCATCCCTTCCCCATCTTGGTCCCCGGCCACCTTCCACCCCCCACACCCACCAGCACCAAAAGGAAAAAAAAAAAAGAGAGATGGAAAGAAGGAAAACAAAATATCTACAGTTGTCGAGACAAGGGGAGAAAAATAGAGGCAAACATCCATAATTTTCTCTGTGGGGCTTTGCAGTAATTGAGCCATTTGGATAAAAATAAAGGCAGCAGGCCCTTTAGGTAAGAGGAGCTTTTGCAATCCAAGAAGCCTGAATTATGCGCCTTGTATCACTTGAAACCCCCCACCCCAT